CACACTGCCACCAGGGAACCAATACTCCCTTTGCACTAGTTAAAAATCTGATTAGAAACACACCCACAAACTGACAGATTTTTTTTTTTTTTTTTTTTTTTTTTTTGCAAGCAGAGCGACAGATCGATGGGTGAGCAAGCTCTCACACAGCTCAGCCGGCCAACATCATCAGCATTTGACAATTAATCCCTGCTAGCTGAGAGAAATAAACATATATGTCTCCTCAGTAAATATTTACTGCAGAAATCTTTTCCATTCATTCACCAGGCACTAACAAAACCTTACTGTACTCTCCCTCTCCCTTCTCTTTCTGAGTCCCCTCCACTACCACCACCACCACCACCACCACCACCGCCGCCGCCGCCTCCCCCCACCCCTACATCTGCGATTCATTGACTTTACAATTTACCACATGTCGAGATGGGAGAGGTCGAGCCTCCATCTGAATCACGGCACAAATATGCGAGTGATTTATTGTTTTAAAAACCCTGGGCCGATTTAGTGCAACTCCACTTTTCCTGAGCATTACTCCTATTGGCAGACCATGAACAATTACAGTTCGGACTAATTAAGCTCCGAGAATGTGCTGTGCACCGCTAATGTCTAGCAGGCCTCAATTTTAGTTTAATGGTGCCAAACTTTGCTTCCCAGCCCCCCCCCCCTCTCTCTTTCTCTAACTTAACTCCTCAAATCCAAAGCAGATTGTACTTTTTATGACTGTTTATTGAGTCGAAGAAAAATAAGGACCTTTTCTTTCCCCTCTCCTAGCATAGGATGAGAGAAACAGCAGAGAGAGAGGGAGAGAGAGAGAGAGAGGAAGAGAGGGAGCACAAAAAGAAGTAGTGGGAGGGAGAGAGAGAGAGAGCGAGCGCAGGAGCCGTTTCCGCCATACTTTGTAAACAAAAGTGATTTGCAAGACAAAAGGAGCGCAACCTTCCAACTAAATTCAGAGTGCATTTTGCGGCTAGAGGCACAAAATGCGGCCGCGTCGTGCCACCAAACCCCCCACGGACACCAATTAGGCCCTATTAACATGTAAAGCCAATTTGATAAGGTGTAGGCCCTATCCCTTAAATCCGTATTAAACTATCTTTCCTCTTGTCACAGGCAAAAATCCATTTACAGCAGCCGAACACACATAATCCATATGATATACCATTGTTATGCTTATGTTGCTGCCATGTTTCGGAAAGATACTGTCTCTGTCTGTGTCAATTGTAACAGATAAGGCCCCAGCAATGTGTGCACGTGAGCACAAAGGAGGCAGTGTTGCATTCATTTCTGCATGTTCATTACAATAATCTGACCAGAAAATCCCCCCATTATTTCTTCCTAAAATAAAAATGATAAAGGAAGGAGTCAGCCTGTGTGAAAGTGGATTTATTTTTTCTTTAAAAAAAAAAAAAAAGAAAAAAAAAAGGTGAATCCGCGGCAACATGCGCGATCCTATAGCACGACAACACAACTGAGACAAAGAGGGAAAAGGGGAGAAAAGCTATTGTTTCAACTGCACAAAGCCTTTCCACCGTCTTGTAGTAGGATCGCCACAGGTTCTGAGAGCATCTTTTTTCACTCTAGACACAGCAGTGGATGCTTGGTGCTGCGTTTTCACCCCATCCCTCCCTTTGCCCCCCCCCCACGCACACATGAGCACACACACACACACACACACACACACACACACACTTTCTTGTTCTTTTTTAAACTACTCGTAATTATACATCGAAACTCAAAACCTCCGCCAAAAGTCTCCAGGCCTGGAGAATTATGGGGCCAGGGGTGGCGTCAAATATCTTAACATTCATAAGTCCGAGAGGCAGTAAATAAAGCCAGTGGATTTACGGCCCTGCAGCCCCGATGCAGGAGAGCTGGCCGCCCAGATCCCGTCCTCCCTCCCTCAGCCTCTGCGTCTCCAGACCTGTTGAGGTGTGATGTTAGCCCACAGCACCGGAGTTAACCCACCGCCTTTTTTCCACAAGCCCCGTGTTAGCATCGGCAGGAAACAAAAGGTAGACAGAGAGAGGAAGGGAGGTAGAGAGAGCAAAGGGAACAAGGGGGGAAAGTGAAAGGAGACAGAAAACCAGGGTGAACTGGCCAGGCCACTTCTCCAATTCAACCTGCACCCAGTGATCCAGCAGGCCTTTGTGTGAGGTTTAGGGAGGAGGGAGACGGCAGGGAGAGGAGAGGAGGAGACAAGGGCAAGAGGGCTTTTAAAGCCCGGGCACAGCGTCATGTCAAATTGCTAAATGATACTAAATTGTGAGCCTCCTTGGACTTAGGTGGTAGGAAAAACAAATTCTCACTGGTTATTGCTCCCAGAGGTTAGACAAATTATGGTAACTGCCACATGCAGGAATTTTTTTCCCCCCTCAAGTCATGCAAAAAGAGAAATCACAGAAACAAGGTAATATGTCCAAACAGACCAGGAACAGTGCCAACTGACTAAAACAAAATCAAAATTGATCAGAATTTTACTCTGATAATTTTGCCACTCAGAAATAAAAATTCAAAATCTCAATTTAAAATCATTTCTATTAAAAACAACCAAAAATAAAAATAATCACATTTAAAATGCCTAGATGTTGAAATCCACATCCTAAAAATAATATCACAGCACCGTCCAAACCAAGAGGAGCAGGGGAAGAAAAATGAAGGGAAAAGCAGCGAGAATCAAAGCCTTTCATGACAAGACAGAGAAAGTCTCATTCCAATAATACTCGCAGTCATATTCAGTGCCTCTCATGACATGTTAGGGAGCAAGACAGCTAATCAATGTCCAGGTGAATTATTTATGCCAGCTTTAAGTCTAATACATTTATATTACAGCGACTGCTGACTTCAAAGCTCTAATGGCTGGACACACAGGGCGCTGCAGACAGTGGGGGCCGAGGCTATACAGTAAGAAGACCACTGCAAGCTGAAAACCATGTTCATCTCCAGTCACTGCTCAGGTACATCTGAGAATTCACCTGTAATAAATCTTGTGTACTTTATTACTAATGAAGCACCTCTTCAATAGTCAGCATGTCACTATTACATATTTTATATTTGTAATGACTTTATCTTGAATAGAGGAAAGTGGCGTTGAGAGAAAGCTGAACAACAGGTAACAAATCAGGGAACATGCATTTAAAAAACAAAAAAAAGATCCTTCCATCGCTGAAATATGCCTGAAAATAGTATTTCAGGGGTGGAATTAAGAGAGCAAAGGTCAACACTGTCTCGCCGCAGCATCCTCCAGCCACACTACACAATTTACTGCTTTCCTAACTGCTGCATAAGCACAGTGAACTGAGCGCTCCACGGACTAGTACAGGATACAGTGCTGCGATAGCCACAAAGAGAACTACAAACCTCTGCTAAAGCAACAAGGGATTGCTTCAGTTCAAATCATGTGCGTTCTTGTTGTGAATGTGTGTTTGTGTCAGTAATGATGAGAATAATGAGTGACTAATTCCACACACCAGCCGGAAGCGTTAACGAGGCTGGCTGAGTAAGAGGAAAAGAATGGCAAAATGTTCTCATATGTGCATAAGCCGAGAATGATAAAAATCTTTTTAACTATAAAACACACACACACAGGATTGTGTAAGCAGCAAAAAAAAATATTTCAAGTGAAACCCTGGGTGATCATGTTGAACTCAAAAGCAGAAACACAAAAGAAGGCATTATGTGTCAGATGTGCATTTATTTTCAAGGTGTGCACAGCACACAAAAAATTGAGGTAACAAATATCAGTTTCGTTAGGCAGAGCTGATGGGGAGGTAGGGGGGGTCAAATTTCCTAATGCTTGGTCTTTGCCTTAACCTTGTAAAATGAGATGACAGGTCCTAAAGCGCAGACTTGTAATTGCAACCGTTTAAAATAGGGGGGCAAAAAAAACACCCATGGTTGAAAAAATTATGCCGCTTAAGGACTGCCATTGCCCAGTGGGACTAGTGAGGTGCTGAGCAAATGAGTAAGTGTGCATAATTATAGCATGGCTGATTGTGTCTAAATAAATAACATGAATTTATTTATAAATATGGGGTTGCATGGCACATGCTTTATAAAAAAAAAAAAAAAAAAAAAAAAGCCAATAGATTCCTCAATAGAAGCAAAGGTGGTGCACGTGATGCAGAGCACAGCACAGGGTTTCTATTCAACAAATCACACATCTTAATATATCTAAATAGACATCAATCAGAAAAAAATATTGTCTAATGTTTTGGAAGGGGGAGAAAAAAAAAAAAAAGCTGTCAAATTTTTAATGCATGCACCTTTCACACAATGTCTTCACACGTTTTGACACATGCAAATCACTTTGAAAAGCACATTTGCATATTGATTTTATTTGTGTGGTTTTACATTGCTTTACACTGCTTACAGTATGTCAGAAAGCCAGTGTAAAGGTCTGAGTGCTCATGCAGTTTGTGGTAGAAAAAAGGGCATTTTTGATGAGGCTGTGCAAACACCAGCCAATTGCATTATTCAGTGGGATAAAAACATGCACTTGTAGCCTGGAATACAGCAGACCCTGCATTATATTATTAATAATAATAGTAATCATAATAATGACAATAATGATGATAATAATAATTTCACATTGACCATGCATTTAATTTAAAAGTTGCTCAAGCGGAAATTCAGGGAGCATACCAGTAAAAATGTCATGTGCACATGACCTGCCATAAAACCATTATGTCCTTTTTCATTGCAATGAGTCCTAGCGCTTAGCACTGTTAGCATGCTAGCTGCTGCTGACCATTACAAACACACAGGCTTGGAGCTGCAGGCGGACATGCATGCCATTGTACTGTACACTTCATGGGGAGTTGCAAAACTTGGCTCTACATTTTTATCGGCTGCACTTCTGGGTGACAACCCTCCCGTGTCTGGCTGCCTCCGTGTCCTCGCGGAGTCCGTGTGTGTGTGTATGTGTGTGTGTCTGTGTCTGTGTGTGTGTGTGTCTCTGTGTGAGGAGTGTGTGTGCACATACAGTTGTAAATAAATGAACTTACTGTGCGTGCTGTTGGAGAAAGTGATCCATTGGGAAGGTAGGGGCTTGTGAGATCGGGGATCATTATAAATGGATAGCCCGGGTACGGTGGGCTCTTGAACAGCCCTCCATCTTGCCTTTTCGCAGCTAACATGGCGGGGGGGGAAAAAAGAAGAAAACTTTTTATAAAGTGGCCTTGGAGACTTTTTTTTCCAGAAAAAAATGCAATTGAGGAATAAAGCGGGGAGTGTCCCCTCCGTCAGGCACTTATAATGTCATGGTGCAAAAATAAAAACAAGAGTGGAACAATAAACCAGAAACTCACCCTCCTCTAAACTTTCTCTTGTTTTGTCTCTGAAAGTTTCAGATCTAGGCGGAGGCCGTCTTTCCGCCTTGAAATGCAATGAAACACAGGGATTGCGTTAAAGTTAACACAACGGGGCGATGAGGGTGATAGTTAACTTTTTCTTTTCAAGTCTATCAGCGTTACTGTGTAAGAAACGTAGGCCTCTAACTTAACAGAACCGGGGACGATCGATCCATGTTTTTAATCTGCAACTTACCTCTGAATCCGACGAGCTGTTTTGATTCGTTTCCGACTCGTTTACAAGAGAAGATTTGACATCTGCTAAATCCCTTTCTGCCGAGGAGTTCTCCGAAATTTTCTCTTCCTGCTCCCCTTCGTCTTTGAAGGCAATCATTTCATCGTTTGCACCCAGATCGTCCCCTCCACCGCCGTTGAGCTGCGGCATTTTTCCCGAGCAAAAATTTTTTTTTTTTTTAGGGGGCAAAACACAAAGTTTTAAACCCTTGATCTCGGTGATCTAGAAAGTCCGAGTTTAAGTTTGGGGTCTGTACTGGCGTTTTCCAAAGCTCTGGCGGTTGGTACAAAACTAAAAAAGAAGGGAATCTTGGCAGAAAAAGGAAGCCGGAGAAGGAGCCGAGCCGCTCGGATTGAGTGAGTTGAAGTTGGTCGGAGTGGTTTTCAGTTCAAAGGCGGCGCTGATTGACAGATAGAGAGGGATGGAAATAGAGAGAGTCTGGATTCAGGATTATTGACAGGGAGAAACACACAAGAAACTAATGAGATTCAAACAGGGAGGGACTTGAAGTGACGTTTTCATAAATAGGAGGAAAAAAAAAGAGAGGGAGAGAGACACGAGAGACGAGAGAGAGAGAGAGAGAGAGGAGGAGGAGGAGGAGGGGGGAGAGAGAGAAAGAGAGAGGGAGGCTGGAGGAAGCCGGCGGACGACTGCAGTGAAAAGCATGTGAGGAGGAAAAAGGCAGTTTGGGAGCAGGACAGTGATGGTAAAATAGGAGGAAGATAGGAGTTGCTTGCAAATGTGGATTAAACGCACATATGGGCGGTCTCCCGGTGAAAAGGAAAAAAAAAAAAAAAAAAAAAAGGGAAGAGGGTACTTCCTGAGGCTGTTTGCAACCAGTTTGACTCCACTATTCCCGACCAGTGTGTCACACTGGAGCCAAATGAAGTTAACATTATAGCTCAAATTTCATTTATTAATTAATTTATTTTTTCATAGCCTATTCTTCACACACAGCCTCTATAACCTACTTTTGTATCTGCCTTTTTTTTTTTTTTTGCTTACTAAATACCAGAGGCCTATCAAAGCAGAATAAAAGCTATTACTCCGAGCTTGTTTTCCTATTTTATCTGCTTTGTCAGTTCCTTAGATCTATTTTTCATTTTATTAGATAATGTTTCCTCAGATCTATTTTTTGGGATGGAGGGTGTTATTGCATCCTGCCTTCTTGACAGGTGTGATGTCCTCTGGGACTAACCTGAATTCCTCACTGGCAGCACAGACTGGGCTGTTTTTTATTTTTCTCTTCTCCCTCAGCAGCAGCAGCAGCAGCCAGACTGGACACAAATAACGGATGCAGATGCAGATGCTCCACTTCTGTGTCTTATTTTATAGAAATTCAGCTTTTAAGAGACATAAGATAACATGAATTGTATGTGTTTACAGAAAATAGAAAAAAAATGTAAAGACAATATAATTTCACCATATGAAATTCTCAGATATATATGTCCACAAAACCATATTTGGCTGCACATCATGCACACCACTTCTCCTGTTAAGTCAGTCAGACATATTGGATTTAACACATTCCAATTCATTAATAATTAATGAATAAAACTGTACAAAGGAGAATGTTAAAATGTAAAATAATTAACAATGTCCTCTGAGTAGAAATAGGTTAATTGGGGATAAACAGAAAATAACAAAAAAAAAAAAAGAAAAAAAAAATCTGCCATCGCCTACCTGAGACGTATATAAAAGCGATAGGGAGGGGGAAACCCTGTAGCCTGCTGAACAAGGGGATTGTGCATGTGTTTTTTTTTTTTATCTGTATGTGTGTGTGTGTGTGTGTGTGTGTGTGTGTGTGTGTGTGTGTGTGTGTGTGCATGTCGATGATGAGCTCAGCAGCAGTAATTCAGTAACCTTATCTCATCAGCTCAGGAAATGCAGTTTCCAATATATTTGATGGAGCAATCACAAAAATCAACAATGAATTTGGAATGTAACGGCGAGAAATAGAGCTGAAACATACATCCAGGTGACACTTACACTCTGTTGCAACATGGTTGGCTCCTTTCAAGCTAAATAAATCACGGGAAGATCAAAACAAGACATAGAATTGCTGATTAAAAAATATTGTTTCATGTCATCATGCTGTTAGACGCATGAAAACAAACATTATGACACTAATTCCTCTGTATCTGCTCTCAGCAGTGTTGTCAAGCAGCAGTGATGAGGAAATATGTGCACAGTGCAGCACCAAAGAGTTGTGAATCTGCCTACCAACGCACCTAGACCAGGCAACACCATGAAAGCAGACTATTCCGCTCAATGATCACTGATGTGCTTTATCTGGATGAGGTGAAAGCAGTGTTTGTGTTAGCTGGCTGGGCTGCAGCCAGCAGTGTTAGGGAGCAGGGAGGAAGGGAAAGGGATCGGCGTCTCTGGTTGTCATCCAGTGTGTCTGTGTTTAGGCAGCCGGTGGAAGAAGAGGCACCCCGCCGCTCGGGGCCCTCCAAACCTGAGCCCATACAGACCAGACCAAAGCAGGGAAGCTCCAAGCTGGCCTCTCCCCGGATTGCCTCAGCAGGTACCTGAGAGTTTAGTGGGGGCTGGCAGCGTGTTATCATGCCTGCCGTGGGGACACCTGCCTCTGATGCCGCCCTGGTGATTCTAATCTACAGGACCCTTTAATAAGATGATGATAGGCTGCGCTGCGGCCGCTGTTCTGAATGATGGAGCAGGAGCACGCGAGGGTTTCTATTGGTGTTATTTATTTTGTTATGGGTTTTGCATGTTTACCTCTGCTCCATGTGCAGTTGTGGTTTGGTACAACTGGGGATTGTCTCATCCACCCCCCCACCCCCCCTAAATGTCTCAGAGTGTGGAGGAAGTCAAAGGAAGTCTGTGATCGCAAGACCTCAGCTCTCCACTGTAGTCGTCATCAGCCTTGATGATAAATCCACACATCAACATCTGCAAGTCTGAATTGTCCAAGCTATAGAAAAGAAAGACAAATATTTTGAATTATTCAAGGGGTACTTTCATATTTCATGATATTGTGTCACCTTATTGGTTGCTTCACTGTGATTCTTGTGCTCGGTGTGCTTCTCACAACTTTGAAATCAAGTAATTTGAAGTGCTCCACAAATTTGTGGCTGATGGAGAATCTATGCATGTGTGCTTTTGTACTATCCATGTTGATGATGAATAAACGCCGCCCCAAACAATTTATTTATGTCTAGAAATACCTATGCTGTAGAAATATATACAATATGTGTACAATATGTACCAATTAATTCAGATTGTATAACTCATCTTATTTTGTAAATATTTAGCACAACACTCTTAGAGGTATCTGGGAAGATTTTTGCACATTTTAGCTGAAATCATTTTTTAGTTTGAAAGGATCTTAGGATCATAAGTTGAATAGTTAAACAGTTGATCCATAGTCAATAGACACTGTTTGAATATGGAGTGAATAGGGCTTTTATAAAGAGGGGTTACTGTTTAATATCAATAATCTCATAACTCTTCTGAATCCCACTGTACATATGTTTTGTGTTTTACAAGTGAAAAAATAAAGGAAATAGAAGCCGTAGAATTAAATGAACATATGTGCAGTCTGCAGCTATATCCAGCCCTACATAGAAAAAATATTTTATAGATCAATATTTCTATATTAATTTGTTCTTAAAAAAATATATATATACATATATATATATATATATATACAGTATATGTATGTTTTTTTTGCGGCCAAATATCCTCAGTCTGAAAAGGAAGTGTAAAACCTGGTTAAATAAAGTCGACATAACTACTCAAAGAAACAGGGTTCTTTTTTTTTTTTTTTTTTTTTTTTTTTTTACAAAAATCCTCACACAAACCACCAAACTACTTTGAGAAATCACCTACTTTTCTGTGAACACCCTCATTGTTTCATCTGGAGCAGAGAAGGTAGCAAGCGACACACAGTGCACATCCTAAACAGTTAATTACCCATCATGCATCCATGTTGCCAACCATACCAGCTAAAAGGTCTCTCATTGCTGATTAACATATTACTGCTGGGCATTCTCTCTTTTTTTTTTTCCTCACAAAAATATGCTTGTTTTATGGTACCTGTGGGTTGATTTATTCCAGTAATGAAGTTTGTTCACTTGATAATAAGAGAAACTTAACATTTGACTTTAGTTGCATTTTGTCGAGTGCAAATTTCCTCTATTGTTGGGAGAGATGCTGTTAAGCCTTTTGGCATTTATTGTCAGTGCAGCTCATATAAATTCTATCACCGGGATAATACTGTGTTTAGCCATAATTACATGTATACTAATGGTCCTCATCACTGTTTGGATGGAGAAGTAGATGTCTGATTCACCTGATTATGAAAAGACTGTTTCATGCTGTATATTATTCATTAGAGTAAAAGCAAATCAGAAAAAAAAAATCTAGGTTGTGCTTGCATTTGTGTGTCAGTGGTTATTTCTGTTTTCTTGAATAGTGTACTTATTACTGTGCTTGTTAAATTCAGCATGTAACTGTTCTCTATGCAGCACATTTCTGTATGGACTTATTTTAATTACTCAGAGCCAATCTTTGCTCAGTCACCCCTGGTTTGGGATTTGTATTCGACACATCAAAACATGGAAATTGGTGAGGAAAGAGTTCCTTTCTTGAAAAATGAATTCATTGAATGTACAGAGTATACTGTATATCTGTATATTTATTTATTTTCCCTCTTATTGTACTTGTAGAAAAGGAGCTTCTCTGCTCCCTTGCCCCTCAGCGCTCTAATCATTTGACACAATAGGACAATTCATTTGAAAATACAAGCTTTGTATGCAGGAATTGCATTCACAAGTCCTTCAGAAATTAATTTAAAAAGCAAAAAAAAGAGTATTATGCTGACTAAAGCTTTAAGCGTTGAGGGTAATATATTTTTCACAAACAGAAACTGCTGGAATCAGTGAAGTCCGTGCACATGTACAAACACAATGTATGTGCTTACTGGAAGTCAACAATGTCTGAGTGACTAGCTTTGCCAGAACACATTAGGACTGAAAAACACCTTATTGAAAACATGGCAAACATGTATATTTTTATAAATGTATCTGCTGTCCGTGTCTATGATCCACAACATAAATCACAATGAAGATAGTGGGGGAAGAAAATAAAGTGTAATGAAGAGTGAGTCATACTGGCCTGTGACACTGCACTCAT